CGGCATGACTCATAAATTTTCAAATATTCATAGACATATCTTTTAATCTATTCTCAAAAGAACCAAAAAATGTGAAAATAATAATTAAGAGTACTGCTGAAATATACAGAACATTTATCAAGGTAAGTAGGTAGGTAAGTAATGATAAACCAATTTTAATCTTCTAATAATAAATGAGAATCCAAATGCAACAAACAAAAATGTTATTTTCTAATCAATAATTGGATGTCTATTTAAGATTGGGAAATCTTAATGATATAATGTGATATTTTATTAAAACTGTAAAATTGTTTTAAAAAAAGAAGAACATCTTTTACAATCTGGAATCCTTTTGAAATTACGTTTCTTTTTGTGTTTTCCACTTGCTGTTTGTTGCCATATTGTAGTTGGTTTTCTTGGGACAGCGCCATGCATAATATAGATTTTACTCAAAACGCATCGACTAAAGGGAAAATTCTATGCATTTTATATCGCGCCAGAGGGCATTCATACGATGAATGTAAGTATAAGTACATGCAGCCATACATATTATATGTATGCAGATGGGAGTTTCACTTTGCCGCACACACACGCGGAAATTCAGTGGCAGGAAGTCTGGGAGCATTACCTATGCTCTATGAGGACCCATCGCCAGTCACCTGGGTTCCTCAATTGGTGCGTGGCAAAGAATTCATCATGCAAATAGGGTTAGCGTGTGAAGTCAGTGAGCGACTAGGAATGGGACTACCCTGATGCATAATGCATTCGATGTCTGCTTTGCAAATGACAAATTGCCAATTCTGGGCAAGGCTTCAATCTATTAAAAAAGACAAAATTTGAGTTTTCCTAGAAGGATATTTACAAAAAATAATGATTGATTAAGAGCAAGAAAATTGCAGTTGAATTTAAAACGGTTGGAAATTATATTTAAAGATATTTGTCAAAAACATTTACCACTAAAATTAAAAAAAAATAAAATGATATTCCCCCTGTGTTTCAGAAGTTTTTTAAGGATTTTAACTAATGCGTTAATTTAATTTTAAATAATTATATATTAAATAAAGGATTTTGTACCCAAAATATGTACAAATTTAGAAAGAGCTTCTAATATCAGGTGAGCTATTTTTTTTTAAAAGAGCCATTTAAAACTGTATATACTAATTTCCTGTTAAATTTAATTTAATTTTTTTAATGTTTCCATATATTAATTGTTTAAATAAATAAAACATCGTCCTTTGACGGATGTGGACTTATGCTTCCCCTCATCTAGCCGAATTCCGAGCCGCATGCAGCTTTTGGGAGGAGGTCGCCAGAGTTGCTGTTGCAATTTCTGTTTTGAAATTGGCTTATTTAGGTATTTTTTGTGCGCTCGACATTCAACGGCCACCGTGCTGTGCTGCAGGGCTTCTAGAGTCCCTGGCCTTTGTTTTGTAATTGTTTCGAAAGTGGGAGGGGACGAGGGCTGAGCTTGGGGAGGGGCGGGATACACAGTAGGCGGAGAAAGTTAACGTCATTGTCGTTTCCGAGCTCGACGACGTTGGGTCGTTGTCGTTGTGCCAAAAGAAGAAGGACGACATTAGCGGCAACTGTTTTGAGTGCTGCTTCCTGCCGGTCTGTTCTTTATCGTTCCTGCACCACAAGCCCACTGCCATCCACGATCACCCACCAACATCCACCACCCACTGGCCGCTTTCAAGTGGCATTCGAGTGGCAGCCATTGTGCAGCATTATGATGAAAGTTTGTGTCGCAAAATGCAAATATTTGAAAGGTAATTGAATTTGAACTTTGCCGCTCATCGTCCTCGCCTCCCACCTGGCCACCCACTCGGGCTGCCTGCTCAGTATGTCAGGTGTACCGGCAAGAACTATTCAGAAATTCACTGCTTTATCACGTAAATATTACTTTTTGTCGAAAAATTAAAATTTAATACAAGATTTATCAGGATTTCACACAAAACCTAAATTATAGAAAATACTTTTTGAAAGAAACCGTGAAGAAAATTAACATTTATATCTGATTATACGGTAGAGTCCTAAAAGATCGTTGACTTTGAATTTTATTTCCAAAGGATGTTCAATAAAATGTAATAATATAATTTTATTATATTACTAAAATTCTCACTTTATAAAAACTTTTTAAATATAATTAATGTTATATTTTAAAGTTAAATAAAATTACAGTATTTAATAAAAAGAAAAAACTTTTAAAAATTCCATCCAACTTAACTAAATATTGATTAGCAATTACTTATGATTGGAAAATATTTGAATTCTATTCTTGTGCCGGTCACTGTGGAAAAGCAGCCTTTAAGTGTCCGAAATCGCGCATGCAATGGCATTAAAGCTTCGATGGCAAATATTTGACAAACAGCTTACATGTTTTATTTACCCAAGCTGAATGGTCAACACAGCACAAAGCCTAAAGCGCACTGTCCCACTCTCGCACTCATTTGTTTGTTGTACAAATTATATACAAAATTTGCACACTCATGAGGGCATTCAGTTTCCATGTTTTCGGGGAGCACATGAAAATCTATACAAGGCTGGAAAATACGTCTGCCCCCTTGCCACACTTTTTGGGGCATGCCGCAGGTGCAGTGAACAATAAATTTTGTTGAAAATAAACAATTATTTAGACATGATTGGCTTGTTGCTGGCCATTTTTTGAGTTGTCCGTTCAACATCTATCTGAATTTGGCTTTTGTTTTTACTTAATTGCCTTGATTGGACCAACAAGTTTTCGGCTATTTTATTTTTGTTTTGAAATCATGACACATTTCATTGGAAAATTAGAAGAGTTCATCAATTGTGTTCGACCTGATATCACTTCACATAATTTGTATTTTTACATTTTTTTTAAGTGTCGTGAGCATTTTCATTCATTTAATAGAATTGAATAGTTCAATTTACCTTGAATAATATGAAATATTTTTTTTATTTTCCTTGAACCTAAAAATGATAAAATACTACTACTAAACTTCATTTTCTGTATTCCTCCAGCGTTATAAAGCTCTGTTATTAAAGGCAAAACCAAACTTAATTAGCACAACCAGAAACTCTTATTCTTTCTCACTCTCCACACTTTCTGTGTTGTGGTAAACGCCTTCGAAGCTGATTCTGGGGGCGTGGCAGCCACTGTCTAGCTTCTTGGACCGCGTCAAAGACAGTAAATTGGAGTGCAAAAAGTGGTAGCTTTCTTCTACTCTTCTTCTACTTCGGCTCCGAGTCATCTTTTGTTTGTGTTAATTTCCTGCAGTGGGGGACAGAAAGGAAAAAGAAATAAATTGAAATATAATTAAATTTTCACACAACGGCAGGCGTTTTACAAAAATTGCACTTCTTGTGCTAAGAAAATTGTCTTTAATGAAACAAATTTATGAGGAACAAAAAAGTATGAAAAATATTTTCAAAATTGATTGATTGATTGATTGTACTATAAGTAGTACATTTTGAATAATAAAAATATAACTACTTTTGTGAATAAACTTTTTATAAAATACTTAAACAAAAAGTAGTTAATATTGACTTTGCCTAGGCTTAAAAAAAGGTAAATCAAAAATGATAAAAAATATTTTGCCAGCACGATTATTATTTTCTTGTTTTAGTTTAACATTACTTTTTTTGGTACTTCTGTTGTAAATATGGACTTTGTGGATTTTGGTCACGAACCTTTGGCATCGTGAACTGCTCGTTGTAAAATGACTTTTGATTGAAAGTTGCAAACGCGAGTTCGGGGATTGTGTCCAGGCATCCAAGTCGACCAGATTGATGGGTGAAAGATGGAAAGATGGGCTTTTCGCTGCTTCCCAGAGTTCGGCAATCAAAGTCAAAAATGCCTCACAATTGGCAAGTAATCGAGAGGACGAGTTCGAGGACGGGGAGTGTGTGCCGTGCCCCAGAAAGCGTTGGCATCGCTTTCAGTTTTTCGTCGGTGTGTACAAATTTCTAATTTCATTAAAATTTGTTCAAAGGGCTGACATCGAGGGGCGTTTGTTGGCTGGATGGCCGGGCGAATGCTGGAGTCCCAGACGTTGACAGACACAAATCGACACAATAGACGTCAAACGCAGGCGGATGGATGGGCGTAACACTGCGGATTTGCGGGAGGGGCAGCTTTGGCAATCAAAGAGCGCCGATCAAAGTAGAAAATCGATTTTAATTGCAATCTAGGCGCAAAGCCTCGTCGCTCGATTAGCGGTCAAGTGGGCGAGTGTTCGACGGGCCAGTGCAAATTAACGGGGCGTGGCATGTTGGGCCTTGGTCCACTGTATGCTTTTCATTTTCTATTTTTTTCCCGCTTAAAACATACAGCTCTTTTTGTAAAACTAGCGATTATTTTTGATTAAGGACCCTTAGCTTAAATACCCACTTTTAAAATTATAAAAAAATAAAATTTATATTTAAATGAAGATATTAACATTAATGGTCACAAATTGAGAAAAACATTTTTTATAAACTTCTAAATTATTGAAAATATTTTTCAAAGTAGAAAAAAATATTTTGTAATGAAAAAAATAGTTCTTCAAGTGCTTAAATCGTTGTGAAAAATAATAAAAGGAATGCAAAAAATTGTATTCATTGTCTATTTATCAAACCATAATATTAAGACGATAAAATTATTTAACAGTTTTAAAAGATTGCCATGAAATTTAATGGAAAACTAAAAAGTTCGTTTTAAATTTTCATTTATTTTATATGAAAAATATAAGCCACCTTTAATAATTGTATTAAAAAAATTTGATTATCTAAACAAATCTTAAGAGAGTTCAATGACTTTTAAAAAATTGCTAAATAAATTTTAAATAAAATTATAGTTCCTTTAAATACCACTTCTTTCTAGAGATAAATATAAACCGCCATGTGAAGAATAATTATAATAATAAATATGGAAATATAAGTGGTTATATTTGTTTATGCTTTACCACCGATAACTTGCAACTCAGGGTAGTAGGTATAAAAGTTCGATACACCCATGAGATTTGTTTCAGTCCAGGTGTCAGTAAGTTTCCCTCAGTTCGACTGCCTTTCTTTCAGTCTTGCCAACAGTTCCGAAGGGAGCACAGCTAAAACGAAAAAATGCGGTGCGGTCAGTAGTAGTATTTCTAGCGAAATTCGATGACAAAGTGTCGGCGTTTTTACCAGTTTTGATAGCAAAATTATCTAGTTATAATTGAAACACTCGTTGAGTTAAACAAAATTACGATGCTGGCAAAGAGTAAATCGCTAATTTCGCATGTTCTGCAAAAGCAAGTTTCCGGTTTGCTGCAATCATCAGTGGTCACCTGTCGCCAGTTTAGTTCCGAAGGAAATTTGGATGGCTCACTCTCAGACTATCCGAACCTTTCGAAACCGAAAAAGGGTTTGAAGCCCATGGAGAAGAAGGATCGGTCCAAGGTTTACGATGCCTGCTGGCAATCGATGCGCCGCACCGAGTACAAATGCCGCTCGGATCCCGAGTTCAATATCCACTCGTTTATCGATTCCAGGAAACAGTGTTTGGCCGACTGTGCCACCGAAATGCTGGCCATGGATTTAACGCACTACAAGCCGCAGGACATGGCCAAGAGGAGGTATCCCCGCACCTGGTTCGAGTGTGTGGTCAAGAGGAGGAAGAGGAAGGCCCATTGTGTGCCCATTGCCCCACCGATGCCGCGAAGGAAGCGAAAGTCTGGGAAGAAGAAATGCCCCGAGGATCTCTGCGTCCTGGGCAAACTGGACTTGAATCTAACAGAACCGTGCAGTCTGATGAAGCCGGGGAAATGTCCGCGCTTCAAGATGCCCAACTGCTGTGTGGCCGCCCGCAATCCGCCCAAATGCCGTCGACCCTTCAGGCGATGTGGCAGCAGACGCAAGACCAAGTACCCCAGTTTCTCCGAGTGTAAGCGGGATCCCTTCCCGGATCCCAAGCCCATCGAGTGCAACTGCCTGCTCAAGCCGGCCATCTGCGACATGTGGCGGCACTATCGCCGCCGGAATGGTTAATTAGCTGTTTTCTCAATAATTCTCTGACGCCCTGAAGACGAAGGATTCCTTCATCGGTTGTCTCTGATTTTACCGAAATTACGACTAACCAAATTGTTGTGTTACAAAAGCCTACCGCATCCATAAATAACCGAGAAGCAGTTCGCTTTTTTGCAGCACTTTGGTAATTCCATTCAAAAGAAATGTATTTCGTCGTACTCGTATTAAAAAAATATAAATATTTATTGAATAAAATATAAACGAGTATTAGTAAAGGTATGATTTAAGATATTTTAATTTTTTTTAGATAAATATGAAGCTTTGATACAAATATTATAAAATATATAAACTGATTTACGACTCATTTTTCCTGGTTTTACTTCATTAACAATCATAATAAAAATACTCCTAAATCCTCGTCGTTTCCATTGCTGAGAATTATTAATTCCTCACTTGTAGGTGCCAGCTCTGAATGCTTGACATCCTTTTTGGTAGCCGGATGGCCTGACATTCTCCCAAAAAATGCAATATGCAACAGCCGAAACGCGAATCTGTAGCTGCAGATTGTCCGAAATGGCTACAATTCCCGGGAAATAACCAAATTCCATTATACAGATACAAATCAAATTGGCAAAAGGCATTGAAAGGGATCAAAAGCGAGGGTTTTTGGCTGGGAGAAGTGGGGAGAATATGCAAAAATCAAATTACCAGAACTTGAGAAATCGCAGACATCAGAGACCCATAAATCAGGAAGTAAGCGAAGGGGAGGGACTCGAATCGAATCGAATCGTACATATATATAAGAAATTGTTACCGCTAGTTAACGGTTTATTGATGCGTCGCTTTTGGCTGAATTTATTAGCCTGGTCGTTGGTCCTTTGCTTCCTCACGCAAATGCAAAATGGCCGAAACCGAATCGAACAGGAGGAAAATCGTGCAAAAGCTTTGAATTGATTTGGCTCTTTAGCGGTTTGGCCAACCCTCTACAAAAAATATTTCGCTGTCTATAACTTCAAAAAATAAAGAAAATTCTAAATAATATTTTCCAGCATTTGTAGGAATATTCAATTGAGGAATTAACTAGGAAAATTATTTTTTAAGAATTAAGTAAAATTTATTCTCCCTTAGAAAGACTATTAACTAAATTCAGAATTAACTGGAATTTTATGGATGACTTTTTACTAATAATATATTTTAAATTATATTTAGATATTCTTAAAATCTTAGAACAGTGTGGAAATTTATCCATCTTTTGTGAATTTAAAATATTTAATTTTATACAATTTAGGAGCAATAAAATCATATTTTAGGATCCTTTTTGGATGCAACTTAAAATGGAATTACACAAAAATAAACTCAACCCATCTCAGAACACTCTTCTTCTAAAATCACAAACCTTTAGGTACTGCCAGCTAAAATTTCCCAGAGTCAGGAGCAAATTCGGATATGCCAGACCCTCCTGATATGTTCGTAAGTGATCTTAAATCCACACCCATGGATAAAGAGGAGGTGGTGGTGAAGGAGGGGGGCATGTTGCACCTGCCCAGCTACGCCGATCGCTATACGGATATTCCTCGTCTCATCCGCCTGAAGTTCATAGCCCAGGTGTGTCCGCAACTGAGTGTTCCTGCCCTCGAACTGGCCATCAATCACGTGAAGACCACCTACAATGTCAAGTTGTACGACGAGCTGTATAAAACGCTGTGTGTTGAGGTGAGCAGAAAGTCCCTGAAGCAGATCGATGAGAATGGAGAGTCGTCCAACGAGGCAAGTACCTCGAGTGGCAGGGGAAGAATGGCGGTGCCCTACGATTCCTACTGGGTGGAGGACAACACCATGGAGGCCACTCTAATGCTGCAGGAACTGGATGCTGAATTAAATTTCAAGAAATCAAATTCAGGCAGCGCCTATGTGCGCAGGATCCTCGAGGAGATCGGTGATCATTACGAGAAGAGCGGCAATCTGCAGATGGCGGTCAAGTTTTACGCTCGAGTGAGGTCCTACTGTACCAGCAGCGAGAATGTGATCAATATGTTCCGCAACCTGATAAGGGTTTCCATTTACATGGAGAACTGGTGGCATGTCTTGACCTACATCGATGAGGCCAAGCAGTATGCCTTTGGGTTCGAGAATCTGGCTGAAGAAGTCCCAGCTCGTCTCAGTTGCGCAGCTGGTTTGGCCAACATGGGATTGAAACTCTATAAATCTGCGGCCCAGAACTTTCTAAAAACTCCCTACAAGCGATATGATTACGATAGGATCGTAGCACCTGAAGATGTCACCTTTTATGCTGGACTGTGTGCTCTGGCCACCTTCGATCGGGATAGTTTACAGCTGAGAGCTATAAACTCGGAATCGTTTCAGCCCTTTTTCCAGCTTTCACCCAAAATGTCGAATATTTTGGCCAAATTCTGCGAGGGTCAGCTTGATACTTGTGCGGCGCTACTGCGCGAAATTGAAGATCATGTTAGGTTGGATGTCTATCTGTCGCCACATGTGAACACTCTATACGAAATGATCATGGGCAGACTGCTCAAAAAAAGAGACAGGAAAACAATGACCGAATTTCTAAAAAAAAGACATAGTTCGTCATAAAGGAAATATTTATTAAACCTGAAACAGCTTCATATATTTATCGAAAATAATAAAATTCAGGTTTTAGATGTGAAAACTCAAAGTATTTAATATTTGTGCCTTTGGTTCCTAAAAACGCAATCTTTTGCCAAAAACGTATACAAATAAGTAAAAATAGTTCACAAACTGGGCTTCCTGTCACATTTTTCCTAAATCCTTCAAAAGTTTTTGTAGTAAAAGCGGCATCAGTTTCTGCAACAATATAAGCACAGCTATAACAACAAGGAATATAATTAAATTTTTCGTGTGTTCAGTAGAACGAACGAACAAACTTGAAATCTCGTCAAGAAGAAAGAATAAGGGGAAAAGGACGAAGGACGAGCGATGACGAAACGCAGCGGATAGTGAAAGGCAGTGGAATCATGAAATATTGCTCAGTTTAAGTGATTTTTATGAACTCTTCAAAAGTAGCTCACTGAAAGGCGAATAGACAGTGAAAGAAGTTGGGCCGTTTGTGCCGACATAAAGGTTCCACCGGCACGCTAACGAGCTTAAAGATGTAGCACAAAGTGTGCACTCTGAAATTGCATCCATAATGGCGCCCAACGGAGGAGTAGGTGGTATGCAATAATGCGCCTTGCACCCTCATCTCATCTCCCATCTTACGGATCCAGGTGATTTCCATTGAAAAGCCAGAGGAAAAGTCTGGGAAATTCCGTTAAGTGGCCAAAGGTCAAGAGCAGATCAGTTTTAAGGGCTCCAAGGAGCTAGTCCTTCTTACTCTTTTAGATGAAGGCCAAAAAGTATGACCAACAAATATTAATTTAAATTTGCATTACTTATATTGATTTAAAATATATTTAAGTATTAAGGAATTTAAGAAATTCCAACCCCTTCCATTTTTTATACCCTTGCAGAGGGTATTATGATTTCAGTCAGAAGTTTGCAACGCAGTGAAGGAGACGTTTCCGACCCCATAAAGTATATATATTCTTGATCAGCATCACTAGACGAGTCGATCTAGCCATGTCCGTCTGTCCGTCTGTCCGTCTGACCGTCTGTCCGTCTGTCCGTCTGTCCGTCTGTCCGTCTGTCTGTTTCTACGCAAACTAGTCTCTCAGTTTTTGAGCTATCGGGATGAAACTTTCCCAAAAGTCTTCTTTCTATTGCAGGTAGTATATATGTCGGAGCCGACCGGATCGGACAACTATATCTTATGGCTCCCATAGGAACAATCGGAAAAAAAAAACTTTAACAAATTCTAGCTTCGGTGTTTTTTGAAATATTACCTTCTACTTTTGGGAATGTTATTTTTTAAATATATCTGAATTTCGAATTAATTATTTAAAAAATCGGACTACTATATCATATAGCTGCCATAGGAACGATCGGAAAATTAATGGAAAAGTAATAGGAAATAAATTTTAGCTTCTTTGGATTTTATTGTATTATCTTCTACTCTAGGATATGACTCTTTTTAAATATTTCCGAATTTCAATTTTAATTTAATCAAAATCGGACGACTATATCATATAGCTGCCATAGGAACGATCGGAAAATTAATGGAAAAGTAATAGGAAATAAATTTTAGCTTCTTTGGATTTTATTGTATTATCTTCTACTCTAGGATATGACTCTTTTTAAATATTTCCGAATTTCAATTTTAATTTAATCAAAATCGGACGACTATATCATATAGCTGCCATAGGAACGATCGGAAAATTAATGGAAAAGTAATAGGAAATAAATTCTAGCTTCTTTGGTTTTTATTGTATTATCTTCTACTCTAGGATATGACTCTTTTTAAATATTTTCGAATTTCAATTTTAATTTGATCAAAATCGGACGACTATATCATATAGCTGCCATAGGAACGATCGGAAAATTAATGAGAAATATTAGAAAATTGAACATTTTTGCGATTTGTTAATTAATAGGAATGATCTGCAAGGGTATATAAGCTTCGGCTGGCCGAAGCTAGCTTCCTTTCTTGTTATACCCTTGCAGAGGGTATTATGATTTCAGTCAGAAGTTTGCAACGCAGTGAAGGAGACGTTTCCGACCCCATAAAGTATATATATTCTTGATCAGCATCACTAGACGAGTCGATCTAGCCATGTCCGTCTGTCCGTCTGTCCGTCTGACCGTCTGTCCGTCTGTCCGTCTGTCCGTCTGTCCGTCTGTCTGTTTCTACGCAAACTAGTCTCTCAGTTTTTGAGCTATCGGGATGAAACTTTCCCAAAAGTCTTCTTTCTATTGCAGGTAGTATATATGTCGGAGCCGACCGGATCGGACAACTATATCTTATGGCTCCCATAGGAACAATCGGAAAAAAAAAACTTTAACAAATTCTAGCTTCGGTGTTTTTTGAAATATTACCTTCTACTTTTGGGAATGTTATTTTTTAAATATATCTGAATTTCGAATTAATTATTTAAAAAATCGGACTACTATATCATATAGCTGCCATAGGAACGATCGGAAAATTAATGGAAAAGTAATAGGAAATAAATTTTAGCTTCTTTGGATTTTATTGTATTATCTTCTACTCTAGGATATGACTCTTTTTAAATATTTCCGAATTTCAATTTTAATTTAATCAAAATCGGACGACTATATCATATAGCTGCCATAGGAACGATCGGAAAATTAATGGAAAAGTAATAGGAAATAAATTTTAGCTTCTTTGGATTTTATTGTATTATCTTCTACTCTAGGATATGACTCTTTTTAAATATTTCCGAATTTCAATTTTAATTTAATCAAAATCGGACGACTATATCATATAGCTGCCATAGGAACGATCGGAAAATTAATGGAAAAGTAATAGGAAATAAATTCTAGCTTCTTTGGTTTTTATTGTATTATCTTCTACTCTAGGATATGACTCTTTTTAAATATTTTCGAATTTCAATTTTAATTTGATCAAAATCGGACGACTATATCATATAGCTGCCATAGGAACGATCGGAAAATTAATGAGAAATATTAGAAAATTGAACATTTTTGCGATTTGTTAATTAATAGGAATGATCTGCAAGGGTATATAAGCTTCGGCTGGCCGAAGCTAGCTTCCTTTCTTGTTTTTAATTTACAATACATTTGTTTAGAAACCAGACTACATTTTTGATTAGCACTCAGAAAAGTGAAAATGTTGTATTAAAAAGCTAACAAGAAATACCAATTTTCGGGGGCAGCCAGAGAGACACCTGAACTGCGAATATTATTGGAGGAAAAACGGAGGAGATTTCGCAGCAGTGGAAAACTTCAGCCAGACATTGTGTTGAGTAATTCTTTTGTAATGCGGAAGGAAGCTCAAAACAACACAGAGTGCACAGCGATTTCCGTGAAAAGTGGAAAGGCGAAAAAGGGGCGGAAAAAACTTTAAGACAAAGACATGGGCGGTGGGGAAAATTGGGTGGCCAAAAGGGGTTCGCAGATAAATTGCTGCAGTGTTTAGTTAATACTTCTGGCCGTCTTACGCCTTTCTTGGCCTTTCGTCCTCTGGTCCGCTGCTCCTGCCTCCAAATTCAGCAGGATAGCTCGAAGATTCGAGGAACAAGGAACAGCAGCTGGCTGGACAAGTTTATCTTTTGTTACATTGACTTCCGCTAAAAGATACTAAACTAGAAAACATTCTTCTCCGCCCCCCTTTCACTCCTTTTCAGTTTTATTTGCCGGCGCTTCTCACAGGTTAGCGTCAAAGTCCTGCAGGAGAAACAACGGCAGGCAGGAAAAGTTAAACAGAAATTAAAACGCAGCTGGGGCACAGTGGCCAAAAAGTGCAATTCACGACCAAACAAAATTTAACAAAAACATTTCGTTAAATAAAAATAAAATTAAAAAAAATATCTAAACATTAAATAAAATAAACTCCCCTTAATCAAGGGCTGCGGACTTGTTTATAACAAATCATAGACAGTCATATTTTGTCAATTCTAACATATTTCGAAATAATGCATTGTTGTTGCACATTTTTTTTTAAGAGCTCCAAATATTTATTCAAAAATTTAGGAAATAAATTTAAAAACCGAAGATATGGAAAATTCTAGTAAAGCGTAGGAGGTGTTCTGTGACTTGCTGTTTATAATTGATATTATCGTTCACAGTGGGCAAAAATGGCAATTTACGCCCTTAAAGTAAGAAAACATAATGAAAAATTAATATTAAAGGAAAATAAATATACAATATTTTGTAACATTAAAAAATAAATAAATAAAAATCAAGCTCTTGAAATCCACCATTTATTTTCGACAAATCGCAGGAGGCACTCAGTTAGGCATTTAATAGTTGACATTCTCATTCGATATATGATTGCCGCTACAAATTGGAATGTGGAAAATGGACTCGCCGGTAGTGGACGGTGGATCGCGTGGCCACATCCTGGCCATGGTGGTGCGGGTGTGCGCGGTGACGGCGATTACCTACTACAGTGCCAAGTGGATGCTCGGTGCCTTGGATCCGAATAGTAAGGTGCGCAAGAGGGCCAAGCAGGTGGCGGAGCAGCAGTTGCGGAAGCTCAACTCCTCGGCGGCTCAGAAGTTTCGAGCCCGCGACTTCAACGAACACGAAGTGATGATCGCCTCGCATCTGGTGACCCCCGAGGACATCGATGTCAGTTGGTCGGACATAGCCGGACTGGACGCGGTGATCCAGGAGCTGCGGGAGACGGTGGTGCTGCCGGTGCGCCATCGCGAACTCTTCCGGCGATCGCAGCTTTGGCGGGCCCCAAAAGGAGTCCTTTTGCATGGTCCTCCGGGCTGTGGCAAGACCCTGATAGCCAAGGCCATTGCCAAGGACGCCGGGATGCGCTTTATCAACCTGGATGTGGCCGTGCTAACGGATAAGTGGTATGGCGAGAGCCAAAAGCTGGCCACTGCCGTCTTTACACTGGCCCAAAAACTGCAACCCTGCATCATTTTCATCGACGAAATCGAATCGTTTTTAAGGATGCGCGGCAGTGGCGATCACGAGGCCACCGCCATGATGAAGACCCAGTTTATGCTGCAGTGGGATGGCCTGATGAGCAGTGCCAATAGCTGTGTCCTCGTCCTGGGGGCCACCAATCGACCGCAGGATCTGGACAGGGCCATCCTGCGTCGCATGCCAGCGCAATTTCATATTGGAGTGCCTCACGACTCCCAGCGACAGGCCATCCTGCAGCTGATCCTTCAGAGCGAACAGCTGAATCCTTCGGTTGACCTCAAGGAGTTGGCCCGTTTGACGCCGGGATTTTCGGGTTCCGATCTGAGGGAACTGTGTCGACATGCCTCCATGTACCGAATGCGTTTGTTTATGCGCGAAAAGCTGGGAGAGGGAAATTTGGCGAAGGAGGAGTTTCAGTGGGACTTCGAGTCGAAGGATCAGCAGGGCCTGCAGGACTGCCAGCAACTGGAGATCCACATGGATGATCTACTCAAGTCGCTGACCGCGATGAAGGTCTCCAAGTTTCAGGCGCACAACGTCTTGATTGAAAAGGATCTGGAATTGGACTGATATATATAGGTGATGCAAATTTTAATTTATGCTGAAATGGAACTTATAATAATAAAAGATGTCAGTGCTTTATCAACCTAAGGATATAAATTTGATGTTTTTCTTAATGTTTTAATAAAGAACTTTCGTTATCGGATTATTTAAATTTATTGTTCTGTAAAATATTTGAAAAAATCTCATTAAAGTCCACTGTGTAATGTGAATTATTTTAACATTTCGTGCTTATAAAATAAATTTTAAAAAACATTGTTTTAAGCGATATTATAATTATCTTATTTTTGGAATATTAAACAAATCCGATGTTTTAAAAATTCATTTACTTTTAATCCTAAAACTATACAAAGTTCATATTTCTATTATTATTTTCATCCTTTCCAATCTCTCGCCAACATTTTGTTTTTCTTAGCATTGTTATACCTTACGGGAGTATCCCTGCTTTATATCGCCTCAGCCCATCCTATCCAGCGACTAACACCCCGCACTGTCAGCCTGACCAATATTTTTCACATTTCATGGCATCATGAGTTTTTTCAGCCATGAAGAGCGGAGAGAAATGTGAAAAAAAGAGGGAAGACTGCAACCAGGAGTAGAGTATGAAAGAACAGCAGTAGCAGAAGCAGCACAGTGGCAACAAAAACTCAAAATAACAACGGCTACGACAGCAACAACAAAAAAATCTTTTATGTAAAATTGAATATTCATAAGTTGTTTCACAGAAGCGGCAGAAGCCTAACTACGGGCCTCCATCTCCGCCTCGTTTGCCTCAGTGATACCCTTGCGAATGGTCCTTTTATTTAACCAGCAAAGAACCTGATTAAAAAACGCAGTAGGTCTATTAAACTTTTTTTCTGATAAAGAAGTTGAAGTTGCCCATTGTTATATTTTTATATATATTTTTTCATTTGGTTATTTCGTTTTGCCTATAAATATTAAACAATATTAAAGTTATGCCAGATTAAAAAATATTTAAATTGGAAATTATTATTATTTTAAAGCTGCTGGCACTTTTTGTGATACATAAGAAATTAAGCGGTTATAATGGCAAGTACCATATTATTATTAATAACTTATTTTATTTTATTTATTTTTTGAGTTTACCTGGTTGTGGGTAGAGTTTTTCAGAACGAATTTTTTGTTGCACATTTATTGATTACCGAATTTTATTTAATTTTTTAACTGTAACTAACACTTTTGTGTTACGATTAAAATTTTTGTATTTATTATTTATTTTATTATTTATTTATTATTTTATTTATTTAAGGGTGTTTTAAGATATGGTCTTTGAGGCGAAGTCTTCGGTACATTTGGTTGCTGTTGTTGTTGCATTGGACGGGCAGTTGATTGTTTTTGTGTGTAGTTTTGTTTGGCTGAGTGAACCTGCAGACGCTTCCGTGCCACGCCCCCGCCTCATCACTCGCCCACGCATACATACAGACACACATACACACACACACTGGGATGCAGCGCACATGCACATGCAAAAGCTGCCGTTGTTTGCTATTTTGTCATGCAAATTGTATTTATTGCGGCCAAAAACCAACAACAACAGCAGCCGCTCAGAGATAGGGGCGGAGACAACCCCGCCACACCCCCTTGTAATTGTTTGCTATTTGTCATTGTGTGCGTGAGAGTGGGTGGTAGTGGGGGTTGGAGTGTATGTGTGCTCTATTGTAAACAAGAAAATTGACTGCCGTCGCGACGGCGGCCTGTAAACTTGGGAGCACATTTCCCAAATTTCCCAAACCTCTATGGATATAAAAAGAATTTTTTAATTTAATTTAATTTTTTTTTTTAAATTTTCTGATCTCAAAAAAATTAAAAGGAGACCTCTGCAATGGTATTCACATAATAATTATTGATTGCTTATAGCTTGATAAGGTTCCTTTGTTGATTATAATAAACAGAGAGCTGCAAGCCTTCAAACGTCAGCAGCTATGAAAGTCAATATATTCGGAATGTCAATGTTCCTGTACTAAACAAATTTCTCGATGGAGAGTGAATGTCAATGGAAACAGGATACTGGAAGTCCGTCGTCAGCCACGAGAAATGTACCCCAGCAATATCGGTAACTTAATCTCCACCTTATCGAGCAGCCAATTCTGTGCGGGAAATTGGGAAGTAAATCTATGCAACGTCGATTGCAGCAGTCCTCTGGGAGCAATAATTATGCACCAAAATACGCTGAGATTTGTCCAAATCGGCATAGCAACCACAAACCAAACATTCAATATGCCCAGTATTTACACGGACGTCCTAAGTCACATCGATTTTATCCTAAGAGCTTGGAGGTATTATGGAAAGAATCCAAGTTCCTTAACAAAAATATTTGAGTGGGGTTCAAGAGGTAAGGATCCGGATCAATTAAGGTTTTAATGATAGTTATAGAAATTAGCTTAATAGTAGTGTTTAATTTCTGGCTAAAGCGATGATGCTTCCCAGGGTAAACTGATTTAGTTGGCTAATTTGATTGTCGCTGAAATTTACGATTATAATGCGGTCGTTTTCCTCGACGGTTTTATGTAAATCACTGTAATAAAATCCCAGCCAGCTGTGCCGCCTTCACAATTGTCTGCTGGCAGGCATAATTGAGCCAAGAGAAAGTTTACGAGAAAGGATTTCAGTAACTACATCCATTTATTTATGCTCTTTCATAGTCACAGTCATAGGAAACCTCCAGCTTTCAGTCGATAAATTTTAATGAGGCCACTATGTTGAGTGATTCAAAAAACAGGAAATTGGAGAGCGTTTTACTAATTAAAATTAGCCAGGTTTAGGTAAATCGCAAATACCGAATGCTTTGATGATAATTTTGAAAATATTCCCGTTTTTTTTTTGCAATTTATAATTTTTTTTTATATTTTAAATATTAATCTCAAAAGCCCCTCAGTTGACTATTTTAATTAAAATACGTAGTTCCGCAAGCCACTTGACACTTAACACACTCTTTAAATGACAATTTCTTTGCTGCCCGACCGTTGATAAACTGCATAATTTATGTAATTTGCCTCACCAACAGCAAAACACTCACGAGCTCTCATTGATGACAATTATTTGAAATACTTTTAAGTGAGTGGGCAAAAGTTTATTGAATTAATAATTAACTGCAATTGCGTAATACAAAATTTATTTTATTGCTGTCATCAAGTGGCTGGTGGGCTGGTGCACCATTAAATTATTTTAGTTGCATTCATAATTTAATTGATTTAAATGGAAATAGCGATTTCTCTGTCAATTATCGCACCCTCCTCTTAGGACAAAATGCGCCGGGCTTAGAATAATTGATGGCATTTGATATTAATTACACTTACACACAATCCAACTTGAAACCCTTAATTGTAAATTGCACATCCTATTTTTTGCCGCTGCATTCCGGCAGTTTTCGAGGCTTTAACTAATTTCATTATTATGCATTAATCATGCACCGCGTGTTAATAAATATTAATGTCCTTCGGCCCGGCCAGCAAACTGCCAATTTTAGCCCATAAAATATCCTGCGAAATTTTGCATAAAAGTGTACTGATTTATGGCATTGCCCAACAAAAAAAAGCCGACAAGTTCATTCAACGAGTGGGGTTGTAAAAAATCATGCACAAATAGCAATTAATTATCTAGTAATGAAACGAAATTGTTTCGTTTGGCATCGAAGCGGCCTTTTCATACCCTAGAATAAAAGTTGAAGCGTTAAATATTATATAAAATTATCTTATGTAGTTTAGTTTTTGGAAAAAAAAGACTGGAATTTGTCTTTAAAATTATGACATTAAATACTCAAAAAACTTTGGGGTAATACCATAAATATAATTTAAAAACTCTCCCTATACAAATCTCCTGAAATATGAATTGTACCTTTTATTTGCACTTCAGAAGAGTATCATTTTGGTGGTCCTTGTGGCCATTTGTTGCATTCGGTACAATACTGGTTGTATCAGACTCTTGGTCATTAAATGCATCTGTGTGACTGCAAAAAAAGTGGTGGAAAAAACTATAAACTCCTTTGTGAAGACACAAAAAATGAGAAACAAAATAAAAGAGGGAAGAGGACATCAGTCTTTCGAGGGAAATGGTAAAAACTGTGCTTTTCGCCCATGACCATTTCTATTTCCTTTGGCCATTTCTAAAATTTGCATTTTTCATGCCACAATGTATAAAATTCATATTTATAAATCTTTTAACTGCACACACCACACCAAACACACAAAATGGGACACATCAAAAAGCCAAAGCACAGACAGAAGTAAAAATGTGAAAATAGGAAATGAAAATGAAAAGAAAAAAATAAATAAAAACCAAATACCGGGCTGAAAAGGTAAGTCGACTTATCAAAACACTCTCTTGAAACAATCTCAGAAAAATATTAAAGAAATAAAGTTAAAGATAAAGAGGTAATATTAATATTATATTAAGTCTTTACCAACCAGATATCTTACAGCCTAAAGCATTACATTTTGGTCATAATATATCGTACTTATGTCTAAGCTTACTTTTGGTTTAAGCAAAAAGTCCTGGGAAGTGTATCTGAGAGCCCAAAATAAAAACGAAACAAATCTATTCACACTCTCCGCACAAAAAAAGAGCAACACCAAAAAAGAGGAGATATAAAAATGTGTTGCAAGTCAGAAGTGAATGAATGAATGAATGTGAATGAATATGACTTTGCCACACCGAGCAGAACACAATAAAAATGTTGGGACCTCGCCAGTGGCCAGTGGGTGAGCGGAACCCCAAAGTCGGGGAGCCAGGAAGCGGAAGAGAATTTGGGGGGAGCGGAAGTAGAGCGCACGGAATGAGAATGAGACACCGCTGCACGGCGCTGTGATTTTTCATTTGGAGCGATTTTCCTTGGGCTTCCTTATATTCGGGTTCGGGCAACAGTTGTGGCCAAAAGTGGGAAGTTTGGAACGCGTGCGGCATGCAACTGCAAAGTGACCATGCGACCACGTCTGCTGCATGTATTAAAAAATTGCTTAGCCTTTCAGCCTCTCACTTTTGCATATATAAAGGGATTGCCTTTTGGCCTCTGAATAAAAAATAAGTCGTGGCCTTTTTGGGCATTTCATTTTATATACTCTACTTTTAAAGTCGCACATATTGAGTTATTTATTAATTTGAATTTAATAAATACTAACTTTATTTTTAAAATTTAAAATAATATAACTACGTATACATCATTCCTTTATTCATGTTCTCCCCCGTGTAATATACAAATTGCATTCATTTGAAATTCATAACATTTTTATTAGTGGAGAAGGAGGGAGCTTACACAAAAATTTCGTAGCTCACTTTGCAGCGCACGCCACCTTTTATTTGCCTCTGATTCTGAAAGTAAGCATCTCTGGCGTTGCTATTTTAATTTTAGCCTGCCACGCGTTTGCAGAAATTAGCGTGATGCACTGCGCTCCTTTGCCCGCTCCCCCCTTTTCGCCACTCCCAACCATTACCAACCTTTTCCCCTGCACTCAGATACATTTAACTTTCGGTCTACGTTCGGAGGCGTTGACGTTGCATTTTTCCCTGCACGCTTAAGAACTTGGCTGCGCCAAAGTTGTTCAAATAAAATGGTAGAAAGGAAGTTTGGCATGGAGGCTGCAAGTCAAGAAGGAGCCTCTCATCAACTCTACCTCGGTGGCACACAATTTTTCAACACGGAAATAAAATTTCATATTATTAAATTCATTTTTATATTACAAAATTATGTACCATTTATCCTTTTAATAAAATCAATGAGTTGAATATGTACCTTAAGTACTATCGTCTTATCTTTTCTCTTTCTAAAAATATTTTATTGTGATTATTTTGGACAATTTAAACGTAATTTACATAAAGTTCAGAAAAAGCTCTTTATTGGTTAATTTATTTAGGAAAATTTAAACATAATTAAAAGAAAGATTTTATGATTTTTATTTGACTGTGAATTTTAATATGATTGCGATTTTTAAAGAATTTTAAGATCTGCTACACAAATGTCGTTATATTTGTTTGATATATAGATTTGAATATCCTTAGAAAATCGCTATATTATAGCCTCCGATTTCTCTTAGTGCAGGGTGTAGGAAGCTGCTGATGACTATCTCTGCTCGTTGGTGCCGTCTACCTGTCGCTGGCATTCTAATTAGCGCTGACTCGAGCCACCTGCTCCTCCACCCACACTCAAACTCTCCCTGAAAAACTTTGACTTCTTGGGCCGATCATGGAGCGCTTCGTTAGTCGCGTGCATGTGACATTGTGTACATGAAACAATTATGCAACATTTACGCGCAACTCATAAAAATGTCCATAAGTGCTCATGTGCAGCGGCAATGCTTTCAGTACCTTTTACTTTGCTAAAAATTCGACTGAATCGTGAAGGCAAATATGTATCTACGGAAACTAATTTTTCGTCAACATGAATCTTTTACTAATGGAGATAGTGAGATGGGTACTCTTATTGAAACTGTGCTGTCCTAACTTTAGTTATATGTATAAAATTGTTGGAAAGGAAATTCTGTACGATTCAAACCCTTTTAAGAAAAAACCTTGTTAGAATCTTTAAGGTAGTTTTCTATTTATTTTTATAAATTATACCAAAAACGAAACTACTTTAATGACTGACACCCCTCTTAAACAGTTCTCCCCCAAAAAATTATCAGCGTAAAGTTCAAACAAAGCGAAATTAAGAATGAATTGCATAAAAGCGAATGCCAAATACGCGAAATCTCCACCCCCAATCTGCAGCCACCCTTAATAATTGCTAGACCAGCGCAAAAATTTGCGCTGACTTCATTAAAAATAACACACAAAAAATCTCTAACAGGGAAATAGGAAACAAAAAAATGGAAATAAAATTGCAGGCAAAATGAATGAGTCTGGGCCACAGAGTAGAGGGTAGAGAAGAAATGGCATCGATTGAGTTCAATTGCCGGGGCATCGGGTGGCGAGGAGGCAATTGTAAAATGGCCAGACCATGAGCTAAGCCAATAATCAAGGGGCCCGGAGTTTTTTTTTCGGGGGGTGGGGGGTTGGCGATGTCTGGCAGGTGGGCGGGGGACTTTGCGGTCCGGGAGGCGGCAGCTAATTTATTACGAGCATTTAACAAGCATACTCCTGGGGTCTCTCACGAGTCCGCTTTGATTTATTAGGTGTTTGGTTTAAAAAAAGCAAGGCAACAAAATGAAAAGCACAAGAGCATGAAGACGAGGCCGAACGAAGGCATAAGGAGCAAGGACCATGGAACAAGGACCGAGGACCAAGGAACAGCCGACCGGATGGGCAGGCTGCGAAATTCCGAAACACTAATGTGAATGTAATTTGTAGTTAATGTGCTGTCGGTTGGCATGTGGGCGGGCACTTCGGCCATTCAGGCATTTTAATTGTTCAAACAAAATCGGGATTTTCCGGAAGTTTCGGCAGGCCTTCCTCCTTTTCGCAGCGCCACGCCCGTCAAAGTGGACGCTTTCCATTTATGCGGAGGGAAAGCTCTAATTTTTAGGTTGCTTTTCCTTTGCTTTATACTTTTTCAGTAATATTTATATTTCGAAATCGCAGATTTCAATTCCATTTAATTAAATGATTTTGGGAACTTCCAGGCTAAAATGCGTATCGGTTGGGAATAGGAATATATTTAATTGAACTGTGCATTTAATGCATTAATATTATATTAAATAATATAATAATTATGTCATTGTAAAGGTAGGTATATAACTTATTAAAAGAAATGCATTTCCTGAGACTGAAAATATAATCCTTCAAATTTGAACCCAAGTGGTAAATGGTTCTTCAGTTACGACCTTTGGAACCTGTGAGTTGGAAGGGGTTTCATTTTTGCCATACTGCCGCCACACTCGAAGGATAAAATCGATGTGGCTCAGGACATCCGTGTAAATACTGGGCATATTGCATCTCTGATTTGTGGTGGCTATGCCGATGAGGACAAAACGACTGATGTTTCTGTAGGATATGCTGGCTACCAGGGGACTGCTGAAGTCCACGTTGCAGAGTTTTGATTCCGAGTCTCCGGCGCAGAACTGATTGCTCGAAATGTGAGTGCCATTGGCGGTGAAACACATTTCTGCAGGTTGCCGCCTAATGTCCACAGTTCCAAAAGCATCACTTTCGTTTTTCCTCATAGGTAATCCCCATCTAGCACCGGTTAGCACATGAATTTTGTCGATATACCCTCTCCAAATGGTCCACCACGCAATGCAAATGGGTCTGATGTGTTCTGGTTAAAGAATAATTATAATTTTCATATTACTAAAAAGAGAAAATAATTTTTTCTCCTTTATATAAAAAATCAATGAAAAATTTGGTAAGTGGTAAGAATTAATTTTAGAGTTGGACATTATTTTTAAAAATATTCTAAAATATTCTAGAGCCTAAACAAAACAGAATCAACCTTGTCTCACCTGAGTACATAACATCCGTTTCCAATCCCAGAATGGCTATATCATTGGCATCTGTTTTTACATTATAGAAGGGGTGGACGAAGGTTTGATTTACTCGATGTTCCGAATGAACCGTGTCATTTTCATTATCAGCTTCTATAAACTCTCCCAGACGAGCTACTCTGCGAATTAAAATATTTAAAATTATATTTTGTTTTTTTTTGGTTTTTTGAAATTACTTGCAGTTGTTCGTTGGCTTTTGTGCAATGCGCTGCCGTCAGTACTAATTCTGTAATAAAAGTAATTATTAACTGAGCTTAATGAGTTTTAAGTATTGCCGTTCTTTGAGTTATCAGCGTTCCTCCGCATACGAATGTCAATTCGGATGTGTGCAGATAAGCAATCCATGGACTCGAGATATTTTTCGCAATCTGGCCATTCGGGAGAATTCCACACTCCCCGTCGAGATATTGGGATAATCCGGGGATGGGGAGAAGAATCAGCAGAGCAGAGATTCCGATTAAAGCTGACTTCATTGCGCTACTGTAGATCGTTCGGCTGGGGCTCTCCATTTAATAATAATTATAGGGTCGACATTGTGGCTTATCAAGCTTTTTATTCTGAGAATTCGAATGGATCAGCCGTTTACTTTAAGAATGTTCATGATTATGTTTTCTTAACTTCCCATTGCAATAATTGCTTGAATAGTAATAATAATTTAAAATATTATTTACAATAATATTTCTCTTATTTAAAATTTTTGAAGTTTATATAAGGCAAGATAAAATAATGAAGTGCCAAATTAGGAAGTAAATTATTTAGCGGAATTTAGACAAAACGCTCTAATAAACATTTAAATTCAATGGCTATTATTCCTTTGAAAATAATGTGCCCTTGTCTCGACCATGATTAACCTCCAGGGAAGCCATTCACCCCAATTTCCGCTTTCTTTCTCTCTTCTTCCTCATTGTGATTTTTGTTTCACTTAATTTTTTTTTGTTTTCAACTGCCCAATGTTAAATGTTAAATCACATTGTTGAATTTCTTCTCCCTTTGTCGTTCAACAGCGATGGCGTTCGCATCGCCGGCTTTTCCATCGGCGGCCATTAAAGGTCATAAATCACAACGTAGCATAGAAATAAATCAACCCTTTATTATCAACACATCGCAATGTTTGTTATCGAAAGGGTTATTTATAGTTCTCCTGGGAGTGAAAAGCTGAGAGAAAGAATATCGGGTCGAGCCCTCCGGAATTTGTGAATATATTTACCGGAATTAACTACGGCCCACAGATCGAGTTCAAGGTTGAAATGCTGACCGAATTGCCTACTTATCGGTGTGTATATATATGGGATGTGTAGTGTGCGCGTTTTTGTATGTCCTGGCAAGCTCATTAAGCAAATCGCATTATTTGCTCATACGAATTCAAGTATCTTTCCAGTGCACTAAGCACACAGAACGCTCTGACAGCCCCACAAGGAGCTTCATTTGCCGGCAATTGAAAGCCTGAAAAGACACACTGGGGAGGAACGAGAGGGCTGCACATGGAAAATGAATACATCATTAGCTGCATAAAGTGTCCTTGCCGACTCAAACGTACCCGTGCACCGAGAATATTTTTCTGAATAAGAAAATTGACGAATTTGCATTGTAGAAATGCGTATTGTTTTCCTAGTGCCTTTAGAAGCTTAATTTAATTTTTTATTTCATTATCGCAATTATATTATGAATTTAATTTAAAAATTTATTTTTGAATATCTTTTAAGAGAAAATATTTTTTAGCAGCACAAAAGAAATCCTACGAATTATTCTTGTTCTAAAATAATAAAACTAAAAAATAAATAATATTCTTTATTTCACTCTACTAAAAGTTATTTTCTTCAAGTTATGAAATAATTACAATTCTTTCCTGTGTGAAAACCCATATATACACGATTATATAAACGTGTACGGTTGCTACAAGTGGACAAGCCGACTCTAACTGGCTGAAGAAGGAAAACCCGAAAGCAGGACGAAAACATCAACGCTCCATGGCTACTTAAACGGCTTAGGTTTGAGGACTTATGCAACTTGTTAACTAATTACGTGCACAGCAGCCTAAAGAGGCTTAAAACACACGTACCTTGGCCACTTGATAAAGAGGGAATTTTTCATAATGCCATGACAATAACATCAAATTGAGTTGATAAGACCGTATTGATGATTTTGTGGAATTACATGCCTTGTAAGCTCTCAAGTATGGTTGAAACTGGGTTTTCTCCCCTTGTGCTGATCACCTTGTGGTATCAAGTTAAAGCATTATTAATGGCAATTACTGAATGAAGTCCTTACTGGGGGCTTACTGTTTGAATAATATAGTTCTCTTACTGGTTTTGTGTTGATATTAAATGCCACTTACCATTTGTTCTAGGATAAATATTAATTTGCCGGAGAATCGATTTATTTAGAAATCAAATGGGGTTTTCAAATATTTTAACCATAATTAAAATTAAATCCAAAATATTATAAAAATGATTTTTGGGACAAAATTCATTTATCTTCTGATTTACAAGCCCCACATCCTCTTATTTAATTTGCATTGATTCACACTTTAATTAAATGTTAAAAATATCTAACTTGTGAAGCCTGAACGTTGCGAATGTTTTGCCTTAGCATGGTTTCAATAAGTTAATTTCCTGCGCGTTTCCTGATTAATGTTTACTGTTGCAGCTATTAAATTTCGGAGCTTATTGACAAGTACATAAAGCTATTGACTAATCTCATTGAATAGATATATTTTTCATTTCCTTTATCACGCAAAATTGTGATTCAAGAATTTAATTAATTAGTAAAGGCCCTTAATCCATTAAACAAACATCCAAAATATCTTTAAGCATTTGCAAACAAATTTCATTTTAAATTGTCTAAAAGGCAAAATCGAAATGCAAGTAATCTAATATTAAAAACTTTGAAGAGAAAAAACACGGAAAAATCAAGAGCAGCAAAAGGTTCAAAGAAAGTCAGAAAAAAGCGGGAAAAAAGAGTGATGGGCCAAACAGCCATTCAATATAATAAATCACACCTTTGTCACACAATGCGAAAACGTATTTTTCCAATTAAAAGCCAAAGAACGTTTCACTGCAAATTACTTTAACCTTTCGTCGGCCATCGGGTCGCCGACATGTAATTAGTTGACAAAGGTGTTCGTGCCAGTTGTTGTTAGCTGGTTTGGGCTGGTTTTAATTGAATTTTTATCTCGGCCAATGCGGCTCCACTGCCTCCTCCATGTGTAAAGTTTAGACAGAGGGAACGCAAATAAAAGATTTAATTTGGAAAAGGTCTGCACCTTAAAGGCTGTGCAAATCTATGCAAATTTATAGAGTCCCGAACTCCAGCTTTACAAATATTAAATATTTTTTCTAAAGTTTGTTTGAATATAATATAATATACTTTAAATATATTTTACGTGCTATTAAAAATACATTAATGTCCTTAATATATAAATAAATATTTATAGGTATATTTTCAAAAAAATTTTCTGTTAACTATTTATATTTTTAATTTTTTTAAAATTACCTAATAATTCGAATATTGTATTTTCATAGCTGTTTAATCAGCAATGCAGATGTTAAGGGCTCGGCATAACAGACAAGAAATCATAAAATTGCTATTTTTATTTGAAAAGCATGAAGGCTATTTTTAATTGCCCTGAACTTGGCGCATCCGAGCCCTGCCCAAATGCGAATATATTTGTCAACAATGTTGATTTTGCGACAAGCTCTTCTTTGTTTCGCGTTTGGAAGCCCTGCTCGGTGATTGTTGTTGGTTTTCGCGTTGTCCTGCCACAGAAATGGGCAGGTGGTCAGAAGGGGGAGGTCCTGGGAGTGGCACCAAACCGCAGCAATGTCAACAGCATAAGCCGATTGCGTGGAATTTCGCCATTGTCCCCTTCGATCTCTCCCAGGGGATTGGCTGCTCCGCACAAAGTCAAATGATAAGTCAATTGTTTGGCTTGAAATTCCAGTTGCCACAGCAACCCCGCCCCTGTCACTCGGAAAAAGTGGTTTGGGTTTTCTAGGTTAGAAAGATTACAAAAAGATATATTTTTAGGATTTAAGAAAAAGATAATTTTACTAGAAATAACACTCAAATTTTAACTATGATATGGTAAGGAATATAAACAAGTTTTGAACAAAAATTTTTGAAAAAAAAAAAAATTTATATTTAAATACATTTATTTTAGTTCCCTAATTAAACTGACTGTTATCAAAAGATACTTACATTACTTCCGATTAAATTCACAACTTATTTTTGAGAGTGCAGCCATTGTGCAAAAAAGGGAGCGGAGAATAAAGCGAGCTAGAACAAATGGAAACCATCTAAAAACTGCAACTAACTGCAGCTCTGGGTTTTGCCTATTATTGGCCGCATTTAGTTTCAATTTGCGGCCAAAACGATCTAATTATTTATTATCCCTGCCATTGCCCCTGCCCCTCCGTTTGTTGACCATCCCTTCGAGTCGAGCGCGTTGGCTTTTATGGCCACCAATTGCGCTTAAGTGGGAAAGCAGCAACTTTACGAGCCCTCCTTCATCCCACAAGTTGCTTCTACTCCCACTCAGACCACCTCCGATTCAATTCAAATTGGCACGCAAGCCAACTGAAGTTATGAGTTTGGTTAAAGAGATGGGGGACTAGAGTGTGTGTGCCCTATTCCAGCTCCTTCTTGCCTCGGATTTGCTCAGGGGAAGTCTTGAGGAATCGGTACAACAAGTGTGCACTTTGAACGGGAAATTGTGGACCGCCATATAGATACCCTACAAAAGTATCCAGTATTACAACAGTTAATATAAATTTCTATAATCAAAGGAAAAAATTTCCTAACAACTGGCCTTCCTAAATTCAATTTATTAACACCTAGACTAGACTAGATTTTATTAAAACTCCTAAATAAGATATATAAATTTGTAGTAAATATAAAAATTTATTTTACATATTTTTTAAATCTCAGATTGAAATATAAATAATTTTAGAAATACAAAATATTGCATTATAAATTTCCTATTATTTAATTCCATTTCCTAAAACTGTTGAAAATTCCCATATACCTCAGTCACTTGAACGTCCAACCTTTGCAGAACAAACAGTCGCCGTGGGAAATTATTAGAGACAAATAAATTAAATTTTATAGCTTGGGTGCGCTAACACGGAAGGAAGGCAGTCACGATAGAAGGATGGATCCCGAATTTGATTGGCGATTGTTCGGGGGCAATTATAGATTTGGTTCGCTTGTTTTCTGGGCCCTTCTGGAGGGCTAATCCTGTTCGATAGAGCTCTTCTATATAAGTACTTATATAGGTATGTAGGAGTCCCCTTCCCGGGATACCCTGGACGGACAATGGCCACTTCAATTTCCTTCAGCTCCATTTATGGCTGAAACATGCAAACTAAAAGTTAAGTTTTGTGCGAACTCCGACCCCAGCGAACAGCAGAATAACAACAAAAGCCGCTCGACTCGATGGCGTTTAACAAAGTTATTGGCTTCCTCTTCGGCATCCCAGCATCCCAGTTCTTGGCCATCATCAACACTCTGTCTGTCCGGCGGGCCAACTCCCCCCAGTTCGTTTCTTGCCACCTTTTGTTTTTTACAAGCACTTTGCAAATATTTATGGCTGAAAGCAGCGTAAACAATAAACTCATAAACTGCAGCGACGACGTCTGCGTCACAGGACACAGAGCACAGGCGAGAGGACACTGGACACAGGACTCTGGACCCAGCGGGTAAATCGATTTTTAAAATGAATTATGTTTGCAGTTATGCAATACGTATATATGTTTATAGATACAAGTGTGTACCCGTCCTGAAGCGATATGAAACCGGATATTGTATATAACATTTAAAGTTAAGAACCGATTAAAAGATGTCCTACAAGTTTGAGAAGATGGTAAACAGCTTTCAATATATGAAAAGATTTTTACAAGGAGAGCAATGGATGCCAACATTTTTATTTTTAATTTTTAAACGATAATAAAAGGAAATTACCCTTCGATCACTTTAATTTTAGAACTCAAGCATATACATATTACACAGTAAATGTCATGCAGTTTGTTCAGCACTTTCGTGTCATACGCCTTTGTTTTGGCTGAAAACCTCAGAAAAGAATGGTCATATGTATATGATGTCGATGGTGGGGGACACAGGTTCTGCCATTTATAAATTAGCTAAATATTTTGGTAGAGACTCCGACACATTCAGCCCCTTCTGAGCAAACACAACGCATGCATATGCATCCCAAAACTCTATTTGCTCAAAATTTTGAGTGCAGAAATTGCGCCAGTACTGTCAGTTGTTGTGCAAACATTTGCCAGAGAAGTGGAATTCAGCCATGGAAATTAGAGTCCACATTGAAATTAGCAGGCGACGCAGCGGAAGCTATGTCCCTAAACTCTAAGGTAAACAAAACTGAAAGTCGGCGTATCAGTGTGATAAGCATGTAAATAAAATGTTGAAGGGTGCAGCAAAAATTGTTCCAAAATATAAGAAATAAATCAACGTTGTTTAAAAATATAATTTATATTAAATAATATTGTGGCTATTAAAAAATGAATAACCTATCAAAAAGATAGTTTAAGAATCTCATTAAAAAAGTATACAAATTATAAAAAACAAATAAAAAGCTCTGATTTATATATTTAGTAGCCTCATAAAACACCTCATAAAATAATGCCTATAAAAACTGTATATGCTGTAGGATATTACATTTCAGTTTGGAAAAGTGAAATGAAAACTTTTCCGAATTTTTACCTCTTTTTTTTGGCAGCGATTTACATTTATTACAATTTTTGACAACGACAATGTCATTGTATCCAATGGCATTTTAGCTCAGGGCCGGAATCATCAATTAGAAAATTTGAATTGGCTGCTATCTGATTTTATATTTCTACACGCCTACCAAACGATGTCTCCGCTTTTTCCGACAATTGTCGACTGCAAACTCTTGTAATCCTAATGAATCCAGCACCTATTTATTTTTCATTGTGGGAAATTGTGCAAATGCCATGACAACAGTTCGTTTTTAAGTTTTTCGGGAGGGTCGAGTGCCACATAGCCTGGCCATTATTCGAATGCGAGTGTGTTCAATTGTTTAAATGTGCCGTAACAACAGTGCAAAAAAAACACATACAACCGAAAAGAAAATCTGGATTAAGCACAAAGAATTTGAAAAACCCTTTTTGTAGTAAAAAAAAATGCATAATAAAATTTTCAAAAAAATATATCAAGCTTATGTCATAAAGACTATATTTCTTAGATAATTATTGCATTTTTGAAAAATAAAAAAACAAACAGGAAACATCTAATTAGGATTTTTAGGCAACAACTTTTATATATTTTAGAATTAAAATTCAGAGGTATAATATTTTTTATTTTATTTTATATCCCCCAGTTGAACAGAAGTATCCGCACTTTGGCTAGAGTATTCAAAACAAGACAGATACTGATGTAGATTCACTCCTGGCTGTTGTTTGCATACATCAGTCTGAGCCCGGGGAATAGAACGGTACAGAAGTGTACAGGGTGGATTGCTGACAGATGGACAGTATTTGCTGCTATTTTGTTACTGCTTGTTACTGTTTCACATGAGGCTTTGTCTCTCATCAGTTTAATTAGTTGGCAATGCTTTTGCTTTGCTTTTTTCCCAGCCTTCTAGTCTCTCCGTCCCCCTCAAATGGGGCATTCCATGCCCGTCCTGAAAAACAAAAGCTTAGCCGGAACAAAAATAATAATTGCTGTGTGCATTTTGTCCATGGAACTACATAGAAAACTGATGTTCGGGCGATGACATATGTCTCGATATTTATTATTATTGATTTAAATATTTTATTGCGAAGATACAATATTTTGTCGGTAAATGTTTTTTTTATTTGTAGAAATGTTGACTGTCATAGGATGCAATTTCCTTAGATATTTGTAGTTTTTTCGGGTAAATTTCACAAGTTTGTAAACTAATGAAAAACAAAGATTTTTTATTCAAAACTTTTATTATCCATATCCTACATATATCATTGGATACTGGACTGGATATTGAACTGGAAATTGAACCAATCGACCAAAACCATAATGATTTCGTGAAAACTCTCTCGAATCGTAATCTCCATACTCGTAGTCAAAATCCCTCTCCGAATGCCTGTAAGAGTCCCTGTCCCAATTATCCCGATAATCCTCGAAGATTGGTTCTGGTTCTGGTGGATGGATTGGTGGTGCTAAAGGTGGTTGGGTCGGTGGTGGAGCTGGTGGTGCAATAGGTGGTGCAGTAGGTGTTGGAGTAGGGGGTCTGGTTGGTGGCCTAGTGGGTGGCTTTATTGGTGGTCTAGTTGGTATCGGCACCTTTTGACCATGTCCGTACTGCCGCCACACCCGAAGAATAAAGTCGACGTGGCTCAGAATATCCGTGTAGACACTCGCTCGATGGCATCTTTGGTTCGTGAAACTGGCTATGCCGATCTGGACAAAGCGTTGGGTGTTCCTATACGGGATCATGGTTCCCAGAGGTCCACCGGAATCTCCATTGCACAGATTACTGTTCCAATTGCCCGCACAGAACTGACTGCTCCTCAAGTTGGTACCAATATAGTAATTGCACACCGGTGGAGGCTGCCGCCGAATGTTCAGGGTCCTCAGCTCATCGCTATCAGGTTGCGACTCGGTTTTGCCCCATCCCGTTCCGGTAAGCACCTGGATCTTGTCGATGTACTGCCTCCACTTGGGGTCCAACACAATGCAAATGGGCCTTATGTTGTCTGTTTGGTAAAATATAAAATCACTGATTTAAGAAAAGCAAAAATGCAATCTTGTTGTGTCTAAAAATACCTATCAAAAAAGTTAAAAAGTTATGAACAAAAATTGAAACAGCCGCTAGGTGAAGCCATCAAAAATTTCAACAGCCGCTATATATCGACAGTAGCTTTGATGACTGCATATCTCCCTCGCACTGAGTACGGATATCTATATAGTCGATATACTCAGCTATAGCTTCCTATAATGATTTCACTTGAAATATATCGTATAATTACCTCTGTAAATAACGGAAGTTGCCAGTCGCAGAACTGCAATGTCGTTCAAATGTGTTTTTGGATCGTATAGACGATGCTTGAAACCCGCATCCACTTTATGCTCCGCTCGAAAGTGACAGTAATATCCGATACATCCGTCTTCCTGGCTTCTTTTATACTCCCCCAGGCGAGCAAATCTGCAGGGAGACAAGTTAATAACATTTTTAGACTCTAGTGTAAAGTCACTTACAAGGTCTTATTCGGCTTAAAGCAGTGGGCTGCTGTCAGTACCAATTCTGCAAAAAATAAAAGGTATTTTTAATCGATTGTCAAAGCATCCACTTTAAAGTCTAAAAAATTATGAAAATTTTATTTTATAAAAATTATATTTTATACAAATTTTTTTATACGAACTGTTTGTGATCAGAGTTCCACCGCACACGAATCTATCGTCGGTTGATTTGAGGAAGACCATCCAGGGACTGGAGTTATATTCCGCTATCTTGCCATTGATGACCCGTTTCGTCGCCTTTGGTTGAGCTCGAATTCCGCAGGATGGATCGAGGAACTGACTGAAACCGGGGAGTGGAAAAACAAAGAGCAAAAGTACCCCGACAAGCGCTTTATTTTCCATTACTGAGGTCTTTATAGCTCAAGTGTCAGACGATCAGTCGGGAATCTCTGTTTTATAATGTCGACAACGCAGCTTATTAATCTCTTGATTCTGGGAAATGTTGCTATGTGCAATTTCTTAGTAATCAGAGAAGAAAACCCTGAGGTTACTACTTTATTTATTACAATATATTTTCTTTGATTAAAATTCATGGAGATAAGGTTTCTTATTAAAAAGAGGCTATTAAATGGCACATATATTGCTGATAAAACAAAAGATTTTTACCAAAATGAAAAATGAAATAATCCAGGAATTCCCAAATTAAAACCCACATGTGATTCTTGGGTATTATCGGACTCATAATCCTCGACGGTCTGTCGTGGGATCTGCTCGGTCTGCCACCAAGTTGGAGCCTGGGTCGTTGTGGTTGTCCTTGGGGTGGGCATCCTTTGACCCTGGCCGTACCGCCGCCACACTCGCAGGATAAAATCGATGTGACTGAGGACATCCGTGAAAACACTTGCCTTCTGGCACTTTCTATTCGTATAGCTGGCTATGCCGATCTGAATGAAGCGCTGGGAGTTCTTAAAGGGGACCATTGCACCCAGGGGACCACCGGAATCGCCGTTGCACAGATTGCTTTCCCAGTTTCCAGCACAGAACTGGGTGCCAGAGATGCTGAGTCCAATGAACTGGGAACAAACATCTGGTGGCTGGCGCCGAATGTCCAGGGTCCTCAGCGCATCGCTGTCACTCTCCGCCTCCGTCTTGCCCCAACCAGTTCCGGTCAGCAAATCAATGCTGTCGATGTACTGCCGCCATCTAGTATCCCACACAATGCAAATGGGCCTGATATTGTCTACGAAGAGAGTATTTATAATGTTAAAGAAAAAAATATATATATATTTAACAAATTTATAGTAAAAATATTTTTTTAAAGTTTGTTACCAATTTATAAAAAAAAATCCAAATTGTAAACGTTAAAAAACGATTTTAAAAAAATTTTGTCTTAAAAAATAATAAATAAATATTACATTTTTGTTTTGTGTTTTTTTAATCATACGTTTTTTAGCATTTCATATTTATCAGAAAATAATCATTATTTGTATAAATCATTATTTGTTATTGAAACAAAATATCGCTTATTTATGTGAGCCAATGTGTGTTTGATTTAAAAAATAAATATGTATATTTTCTATATTATTTTATGACAATACCAACCTCTGTACACAACACTTCTGGCAAGTCGCAGAATCGCAATATCGTTGGCGTGTGTATTTGGGTCGTATAGCCGGTGCTTGAAGCCCGCGTCCACGGAATGCTCCTCCCGAAAGTTGCAGTAATATCCAACACACTCCTCACTTCGCGTTCTCTCATACTCACCCAGGCGAGCTACTCTGAAAAAGGTAAAGAATATTAATATTTTAAATTTATAATTTATATTGATTTATATTTATATTGATTTATAATATAATGATTTACTTACAACTGCTGGTTGGCAATGAAGCAATGTGCTGCTGTTAGTACAAGTCCTGAAAAAAGTAGGAGATAGCTTTAAATAAATAAATAAATAATGATATTATTTAAGAATAAATTAAAATAAAATTTTTATATTTAAATTGTAAATACAAACTGTTTGTGATCAGAGTTCCACCGCACACGAATAAATCTGTAGTTGAGTGCAGGAAAACCATCCAGGGGCTGGAAGTATATTTCGCTATCTGGCCATTGATGATACGAGTGGCAATCTTGGGGTTTGCTCGAATTCCACAAGCTGCGTCCAGAAACTGACTGGATCCAGGAAGTGGGAGTAGAAGCACCAGAACAACGCCGCAGATTGCTGGAATGCCGATTACAGCGGTCTTCATTGCTCGAATGTGCTCCGATTGATTGTGAATCTTGGCTTTATAAGTGCAACAATACTTATCATGCTATTGATTACAAGCATCCCGATCAGAAAGCAGAAAGCAGAAGCATTACAGGAACAGTCAAAGTCATTAATGTAAATCGTATATTAAATAAATAATTAAAATATAAATAACATACAAAAAAATCATATTATCTAAAATGTAAGTGGTTTTCTAAGAATATTTTAGGCCGAAGAGTTTATCAACTTTCATATATTTCACAATTTCTCATTTTATTTTAGTATTTATAAACAATTATTAGCGTTGTCTGCTTAAACACTTTCCTATTGACGTTTTTAAATTGAAAATATGAAAAACAAAAACAAGAAATAGAAAAAATGCTAAAAACAACCGGCGAAGGCATTCACAGACAAAAATGTGCATTTAATGGGTTGCAATTTCTAGCTTCCGTGGGGAGCTGTTCAGAAATTGGCGTAGATTCGGTTTAACTGCCTCGTTAGCGGAAGGCAGCGAAATATCTGCGAAAGAATGCTGAAAACGAAACCGCTCTCCTTTTCCACCCGTAGTCATCATCATCATCATCGTCGGACTACCCATAGATTTATCGTTTTTATTCGCTGAAAATCACATTAGCCAAGCGTAAAACCAAAGGAGCGAATAAAAACTGTTCGGCAACTAAGAAAGGAGAGTTCATGGTAGCACAGCTCAAGCTCATGCCGAACAAACCCCAATACAAGATACCTCACAGAAGTGCAAGATTATAATGGGTGTTCTGCGTAGATAATTCTAGGAAATATTAGACAAAAATATTTGTAAATCGAAAGGCTCTAAAATATAAACAGAATTTATATAAATAATAAGGTTATGAATATTTATTATTGTTAGTATTTATTCATTAAAGATGAAGCTAAAAATATTTATATGTTTATTTATATTTTAATTATATCTAAATTATTTATTTTGGTACTTCTTTCGTAATAATTAGTACCCTGTTTATCAGTTAGATGCACTTTGCGTCTGGCTTAAAATCATTTATAGAGAGAGCAAGGTAAAACGTGATGCAAGGGTGGTGGAAGATGGGAATGCAGGAGGGGGCGCTTAGCGTAGACAACGACTAAAATAAAAAGTATTTGGAATTATAGCTTTCGGGGCGGCTTACCCGCTCTTACCCCCTTTTTCTATCCAATATCCAACAGTCAAACCACCGCGAAGAAAGTGCAGACCTCTGTTGACTAAGTGGGGCGAAAGTGGGTGGCTTTTGTGGGGGGGGGTGGCACATGAAATATGAGTTAAGAAAATTGATGACAAACATTTCAACGGTTATTGCATAAAATTACCATAAAATATTGCATGCAAGTAGTCTCTCTCCCACTCTCTTTTATTTTCTTTTCAGCTCGTTATAAAAATTTTCCCATTGATTTGCAAGGAGGTAAAGGCCGGCATAATTGCAACACGAGATGCTAGAAAAGTGGAAAATAGAGCAAAGATTAAAGTTGATTGTTTTAATAAGAAAGAGTGCTTTAATCAGATGATTTTAGGGTATTTGGAATATTTATTCTATATTTAAACTTAATTGATTGCATTTAAGTCCAGGAACTACAGTTGTACAAATATTTATAAAAATTTAATTAAAACATACCGTTTAATTGCAGGTATTTTCCACACCTATGTATATCTTCAGCTATTCTTCCGTCTCGGGCATAATTAAAATTGATGAAGAGAGAAGGCGGGGCTGGAATGCACTACTTTGTGCCGGGTCCTGTCAAATATATCACTATACCTCCTTCGTTGGCCACTATAAATTGTTGCCTTTTGCCGGCTGAAGATGCTGGCTTTGGCATCCTTTTGGGCCCTCGGTCCTTTCTTCTTCGCTTTATGTTTTGAGTCCTGGACAGCAGCACCGCAGGCAACATTATTTGACGTAACCAAAGTAATTTTAATTTTCACCGCAGCACTCGCAAAACATCAGCGACGGACCGCCCCAGGAGGCAAAAAGGAAGCCGGTGCCCAAGTGGCACTACAATGCACTCCATGGAGTTGTGGGCGGCTGTAGTTGGAAAAGCCGGGAAACTGGGGAGTCTGGTTACTTAAGCATATTGCAAATAGACTGCATAATGAGCTACGCTTTGCTTTTCAAGACACTCAGGTGGAAATCGAGTGAACGAAGGCTAACGAGAAATGGCTGAAAACGCATCGAACCAAAAGATGACTGGGGCTCGTTTATAAAAGAGAGTGTTTTATGGGAAAGTTAAGAGAAGGATGAGATGGAACAAACATTACAAATATGCCACTTTAATTTATTTTTCATAACTTATATTTAATGAGGAAATTAATTGTAATAAATTATATTGATAAATCAACCATATTAATGAAATCTACAAAATAATCTGGAAATATTAAAAACCGTAGAATAATATTGCCAACAAAGTGTTAATAATAAAAATAACATATAATTAAAAAATAAAACTTTCTTGACTTTCTTATCAATAAAATTCATAAACTAGTTCTTAAACATAATTTCTTCCGTGTAAGATCAAAAGTAGTAAATCAGGATATTTACTTTCTCACAGATCCTTTTATTTGCCCTCTTCGCCATGGCGGCTGCTCAATATTATGATTATGGTGAAAATGGAAAAGGCTTTGGAATAGAGGCGGACTACCAACTACCACAGGAATAGAAGGAGGAATTTGAGTTGGATTTGGAGGTGGTCATGGAGGAAAACAACAACAACAATAGCAAGGACGATTTGATAACTCATAAACTGCTAAAGCTACGCGAGAAATATAATTTCCAAGAAGACCACATTTTAAAATAAATCGAACACTTTACTAGCTTGGTATATGTCAATAATTAATTAATAAATCAAGAGCTGTAAATAACGATCTGTAAATCGAGTCCTACAAGGGTGCAGTGCTAACACTTGCAATCCTAAACTATATAAATGTATTATATATTATATATATTTATTTAGTCGAATGAACAAGCATTTTTCGTCACAAAATTTTACTAGTAACGGGTGTAAAAAGCCTAAAAGCCCCTTAAAAGTATTGGTAAATCGTAAATCCTAAATAATGTTTTTTAAATTGAAAGCAAATGCAATTTACGAAAAATACAAACCATAAAATTGTGCTAGTTTGACTAAAAGCACCCCCCAAAAACTAAATCTAATACACTTCTAGAGATTTCTAACATTCAGTATACACAGAGTATTGGCACTGACATAAACTTGCAACGAAATTTTGCATAAATTTCAAATGTATTCGGTATTCAGTAACGCCATAATTTAATTTAGTACCGCAATCAAGTGGTTCAAGCTGAAATCGTTTATTTTTTGCGAAACGAGAAATGTTTGGAAATTCGAAATGACAAGCGACGAGAGCAACAAACACACACAGATACACACAGACACACCGGATAGTCCGGATAGTCCTTCAATTTGGGTGATCTGCTCGTAAATTGGTAGCCAAGGCAAACTCTTTCCCTATATTCAGTCGTAAAGCCAACGTATGCAAATTTCGTATTCACTTTGTCACACATGCACACAAATAGACAAACACACACGCACGCAGGGATGTCCCTTTTATTCGCACTCACACTGGCACACTGGCACATCCTTGTGCATTCATCATCAGCCACATCATCATTTATACATTGTATTTGTCTGCTCCTCTTGTATTTGTTGTTGTTGTCGCTCTCGCCGGTGGTCTGCAGTACATAAAACTGCTGACATTTGTTGTTTCCAATTTGGGGCAGTGCAGCCCCCTTTTTTCCCCTTTGCCATCGCCGCCCCTCTCTTGAGCACAAAAAACTGGAAATTTTCGGTTAGAGCTTAACATTAATTGATTTAGAATTTGTGGAATTGAAATTATGTTGAGTTGACAGTTTTGGGGATAAAGTCGATGGTCGATGGTCTGATGAATGTGTTTCATCTAAATGGATAAAGGTTGTCGCCGACGGCATTGAGAATTAATAGGGTGCATATATGTGGGTTGGTATTTGTAGCTGGCAACCTTTGTATCGACCCATTTAATAACGCATTTAAGTTTGAGGCCCGTTGAAACTATAAATTATAAATGATTTAAAATGGATTTTAATAGATCCCGAAGCTCATCAAAGTAAATAATGTTTACCATGTTTCGTGTTTCTACAGTTTTAAGTAGCAAAATCGGCAAAAAAAACAAAGAAAACAAGAGAAAACGCTATTGAATACACGTTATAGGGAGTGCGAGAGAGATAGATACATGCAGCAAAGCGACTGCTTGCACTTCTTAACTTTATTGCTGCACTTTATTTGCTTATACCTTTTTAACGAATGCTCCGATTTGAAATATTTCTTTACGTTTCGATAAATAACAAAAAACACAAGAAAATCCCTTTTCTACTTTTATCTTAATACTAATAGTTTGATTAGGGGCCGATAAAGGATCTGGAAACATGGAAAACCATTGGAAATTAGACCACATTCGTACATTGCAATACTTCGTTGCCGTGGCAGAGCTGCCAGGCAATTCCTCAGTCAAAAGGCCACAAGCTGTGCTAATTAGCGCAGACAAAGGGCTCGGAAAACTGAAACAGCGGCGAAACAAGGAGTTGCCAAGGCCCGAAGACTGGAAAAAAGCGCAGAGAACAAGCTTGGGCCGAAAAGAAAGGCCAGAAATATGTGGGTTTTTTATGGGTACGCGGTGTGTGTGGGTACGATATGGCTCTGGAGCAACAGCAGAAGCAAAAGCAACAACGGTAGCAGTGGCAATAATTACAACCGTCGGCACACAAAAGACTTCAACACAAATACACACTGGCAGGCATATGTATGTGTACGGTATGGACAAAAAGTGGAAACATTACGCATACGCCCCGCTGCACGTCTGAACCTCCGCTGTTGTTGTAGCCCAAACAAAAGCCCCAGCGCACAGAGATAAAGAGAAAGCAAACCCCTTTTCGAGACTCGTTTTGGACAATACGTCTGCGAGGAAAGCAGAGAAAGCTGGGAGAAATTGGC